CAAAAGAAAATAAAGAAAGAATTAGAATAATAGAAAAAGTAAAAACAAAGCAGAAATATGCTTAAAATAAATATAACAAATATTATAAATGACATATTGTTTAACAAAAATTATTAACAGTTTAGCAATATAATAAACAAAAGGTAAAAGAAAATATAAGTTAATGTAAATCTACTTAATCTTAAAACTAGTTTACAGCTAGTATAGTTTATAGCTTTATACTATGGTATATTATCTATGCGCGGGGATAAGTTTATCTACTGTCGATATTATATCCACCATAGGCCCATGCTCGCAGGGTGGATAAAGCTTTGACATAGGGATAAGACAATTTTATCCCTTGTCAGTGGATATAATCGGTGGATAAAATTTTTATCCCCTGCTCATGCTAGCCCGGCTAGACCCTACAATTCGTTCCCAAACTATGGCTTCCATTGCTTCTATGCAAATTCCTAACATTCCTACCTTTAATTTTTCTCCTGTTTCTCAGGATGATGTCAAAAAGTCGATTTTAGCAATCCAGTCCAAGGCCGTGGGTTACGACGAGATTAGTAGACATATGGTAGTATTTATACTAGAGCACCTTCTCCCGGCAATTTCCCATATAATCCATTTTTCCCTTGGTTCAGGTCAGTATCCTAATCTTTGGAAGAGGGCTTTTGTAAAGCCTCTCCCAAAAGTTCCTACTCTCATTCTTCCCAATCATTTTCGTCCAATATCCATTCTACCCTTTCTTTCCAAAATTTTAGAATCCTGTGTTTACAAGCAAATATCTACTTTTATTTCGAAACATAACCTACTGAAAAAATAACAGTACTGGTACTAGTTGATTTCTCAAATGCTTTCAACACAGTTGATCACGAAATCCTTCTTTCCATACTGTCTCATCTGAATTTTGGCCCTACTGAATTGGATTGGTTTACATCTTATCTTCGCGGTCGACAGCAGTCAGTCAGTGTGGGGCAACTGTCCTCAGCTTGGGCTGATGTGGATGCTGATGTGCCGCAAGGCGGTATTCTTTCTCCTATAATGTTTTCAATTTTTATAAACTTTATTACCTCCATCATCGACTGCTCGTACCATTTGTATGCCGATGACCTTCAGCTTTATGTGCAAACTGAGATTGGGTATATCCATAATGGGATCAAAAACTTTAACGGCAACTTAGCAGCTATCAAGGATTGGTCTACTCGTTATGGAGTTTTGGTCAATCCTTTGAAATGCCAGGCTATACTGGTGGTAGCTCAAGGATGCTGGCTAAGATTAATCTGACAGACTTACCTCCTATTTACTATGATAATACTACAATTCCATTCAGTAATTCTGTTAGAAATCTTGGCCTTCACATCGACAGCACGCTGAATTGGAGAACTCAGGTTTCAGATGTGAGTCGTAAAGTCACTGCCACGTTATGCTCTCTGTACCGTTTAAAACATTTTCTTACCACAAAATCTAAGATCATGCTTGTCCATTCACTTATATTACCCATAATTGATTATGCAGATGTGTGTTACCCAGACCTGTCCCAAGATCTTCTGAACAAGCTGGAACGCCTCCTCAATAAGTGTATAAGATTTATCTTTGGGCTTCGTAAGTATGATCATATTTCGCAATACAGATCTAAGCTAAATTGGCTTACAATCCGGCAGAGGCGCAACTCCAGAATATTACTTGTACTTTTTTCCATATTAAATGATCCATCTTCGCCTTCTTATCTTAAGAGTAAATTTCATTATCTTTCCTCATCTCATGATAGGGTCCTACGCTCTTCTTCTAACAACAAAATCTGTACTCCAGTTCACTTCACCGAGTTCTATGGTCCTGACTCCTTCACAGTTCAGGCTACACGCCTTTGGAACTCCTTGCCCGATGACATCAGAAAAGCTCCCAATAAGTACCCTTTTAAAAAGTTGGTCCGTGATCGTTTATTAAAAACAACGCATTCTAAATGACTCATCTATTTAATATGTATTGCCAAACAGACGTATATATTCATAGTTATTTGTATATACTAATTATGTATGTATTTAAATATGTTTACTTGTATGTATATCCATTTATTTATATATTTGTATATATGTAAGGATAGATCATATATGTATAGTTTACTTATTAGTAGTTTGTATATATTATGTATTTATTATCATTTGTATTGTGTTATCTTATTCTGTATTGCCACACTTACGTCAAATTCTCACCACTCCATGGGTTGACTGGTAGAGAATGCCTCAAGGCATTAAGTCCGCCCTTTGTATTATTTTGTTAAGGATGCAATAAAGAATAAAATAAATAAATAAATAGATACGGGCGCCGACCGACCAGACGCCAGAAGCAGAAAGTTCGAGTGTGAGGCTTCTAGAAAGTTTAATTCTTCTGTTCATTACTAGATGGCGCTGTTGGTCAAATGTCAAGATTGACATTTTCTAGGAAGCCCTCCTCGCTCTGGTCCCCGACACTAGATGGCGCTAGTGCCAGGTACCTGACGTCAACTTAGGCGCGCAACAATACGTATACTTTTGAAGATGTTAAACATCAACACCCTAGATCACATATGTAATCACAAATTTCTAAATTGTCCGGTGTTTTAAAAAAGAGTAATCGTAAATAACTATGCTACTGGTTGTAGTCTCAAATCCAATTACTAATATTGTAAGTTTAGTACAAACAAATAAAGTTTAATTTAGTCATGGTTAAAAATGTTTTAACACATAACTTTACGGCTTGTCTTTAATAAAATGTACTATACTAACATAGGTAAGGTGTTTTAAATGTGGCCCCATCAGATATGTGATCTAGGTTGTTTCTTTTAACATTGTCAAAAGTATACCTATTATCACTTAAACAAATAACATGGAAAGACCAACTTTTATCGATGTACCTATTAAGGGGTGATTAGAGGCAGATTTAGCAAGGTTCTAAAATAAGTACTTACTAACCAAAATTGTGATTATTTCATTTTATAGATAAAAAACCAGATTTAGAATTTGATTTCATAAAAAAATCGTATATTATTATTTTATTACAAAAAGGTACAATAATACGAATTTTCAAAGTTTGCACCTTTCTTTTAAAATCTTAATGATAAATTTTGGAAAAAAATTAAAAAAAGTGTTTTATTATTTTAATTCATGGGAATTTGCACCAATTTTCAAACTAAAATAGAAAATCTTATTATGAAAAAAAAAATTAAAATAGAATAAATCAATTATTTTTCTCCATACAAATTTTAACAACCTCTACACCTTCACAACACCTTCATAGAGGTTGTTTTGAAAAATCTTACTTACTAAAACTTACTTTCAGTAAGTCTCGAGTCAATCGACCCGTAAAATAAAAAGTTTCATACAAACAGTAACACTATATTCCACCATATTAGGGGTTGAATTTTCCTAAAATTCTTTTACGAGGGCGGCACTGAAAATTTCGGGAATCAAGGAAGTTACACAACATTACTATTTAAAAATGTATTTATTGCTTTTCAAAGTATTCTCCGCGAAATTTGACACATTTTTCCATACGATGGAACCAATCATTGAAGCAACCATTCCATTCGGAAGTTGGGGTCTCCAAAATGGCCGTTTTGTAGGCGTCCACAGCTTCTTCAGGTGATGAAAGTCTCTGTACACGCAATTTATTCTTTATTTTAGGGAAAGTATAAAAATCATTAGGGCTTAGGTCGGGTCTGTATGGCGGATGGTCTAATAATTCTATGTTTTCTTGCTCTAAAAACTCTTTTGTTCTGTGTGCGGTGTGAGAACTCGCATTGTCGTGATGGAGGATGATGCGGCGGTTGCAGTTCTCTTTACGGAGTTCAGAAACGACCTGTGGCAAACAAATCCTAGCATACCATTCTGCATTAACCGTTCTTTGTCCCTCAAGAGGAATAGTCGTAACATGGCCGGTTATGGAGACAAACGTGGCTACTATTTTTTTGCAACACTCCGTGAACGAACAATTTTTGTTGACTTTAACTCATTTTCGAACACCCAAACTCGTGACTGGTTTTTGTTTCGGGTTCGTACGCGTATATCCAGGATTCGTCACCTGATACGATGTTGTATACAGCATTTGAGGATCCTGCGTGGAATCCTTCGAGTGTTCTGACGAACCAAGTAACGCGAGCCGCTTTTTGCTCTTCACAGAGCGAATGCGGTATCCATCGGGAAAACAACTTTTTTACACTTAATTTTTCATGCAAGATTATTGGTATTTGACTCATGCCAATGTCTAAAGTTGCCTGAATTTCGCGGTATGTCACATGTCGATCTTCCTCAATCAGCTTACGTACAGCATCAACGTTTTCTTGGGTGACTGCAGTTTTTGGACGACCTTGACGGGGATCATCACTGAGCTTGACGCGTCCACGTTGAAATTCAGTAAACCAGCGCTAAATTGTGGTTTTGGATGGGGCTTCACCACCAAATGCAGAAATCATCCGATCAACACACTGTTTTTGTGTTAAACCACTTTGAAAGTCATAATAAATCATCGCTCTTGAATTTTCTCGAGTCAATTCCATTTCCCCAACGATTAAACAAGTTTGACAAAACCTTGTGACAAGACCGAGAATCTTTTTTTAAATAAATAAATGGTATACGATTTCTAAAACCAAGGAGTTTTCAATTAAAAGATTTTAATATGAAAGGAACAGTAGAAATATTCCATTCCCGATACTTTTAGTGCAGCCTAGTATAGTGGATGTCATAAAAAGACCTCTATAACCCTAATTTCATATTTCTATATCTAGCGGTTTGGGCTGTGCGTTTATATAAAAGATGAGTGAGTTATAACTCAGGACAGAACATCTTCTTTTGTATATATATAATAGAATACATATATAATCTAAATAATAACTACTAATTCAAACTGAACGTTTAACAACGGAGCTGGATAAAGTTTAGCTTCTGGTTAAACTAAAGTTGGTAACCGTCCCACATTATTATTTTCCACTATTAAGTGTTCTATATAATTCTAGAAATGTTAAATTTGTTCCACAATACCTTTCAATGTCTTGGAGGATAATTGGCGTCTCTGTAGTCTCCTCACCTGGTTGAGAGGGAGGTCGAGTGTCATATAATTCTGTAAATTAATTAAAACGCGGCATGAAATACCTACTTGGTAGGGCCACACTGCAGCTAGATTATGGTAATAGCACGAATGGGTCGACTCGATCGGGGAAGGACCACACTCTCACAGAATACCAGCGTAAAATAGCAGCTTAATACTGCTGTGTTTTGTATGGTGAGTGTAGATCCGGAGACCCTTTTTTACTGAAAACGAGGCATTCCATCTTATCAGTCAGGGGTGACAACGTATCTGCTTTTTGATTCTTAATCGAGAATAAATGTAGATGTCTATGAGCCACAGCATCCACGTATCATCAGGTCGACTGTATGCACGTTTGTCACCCTTATCCTATTTTTAAAAAAACATGTTATTTTCACTAGCGCAGTTTATTCTTTGCCAAAATTGAGTGGACTATTGCTGAGAGGTTGTTTAACTTCGTGAATAGTTCACAGTCTAACTACTATAAACAGTCGGTCATCGAAGGCGTCTAGACGGGGTAATCGTGGGATACAGTACGTTGCGAGACGTGGGTAGAGCGCACCCGAGCGGCCATTAGTCGCTCGGGAGCTGTCCGCTAGGGTTGTCTTGCCACGCAAATAAATTAAAATAGCTCACACTACATGTGCGGTAAAGCACTGTGTTTCGTCCTAATGTTAAAAATAAGGGATTCAAGTTTCATTAGTTTTCATAGCAAAAGAATTTGTTTCAGCGTGAAATAAAATAAATCAGTTTAAAAAAAATTATTCTAGCAAGTTATTGTTTATGTCAGCTTTTCCGACAAAATCAAACGGGATGACTGACTGCATGTTCTTCTTAGACTTAACGTGACTAGGTTATTGCAGCGATGCAGTTTCTAGTTGGTTTCTAGTTAATATTATCATTGCCGCTTCCCTTTTTTGACTGTAAATACTAAATACTAAGATACTCTATGATTATATACTAAGATACTCTATGATTATATATCTATGATATACGAAGCACATGACGATACAGTGTCATCATCATTGAATAGTCACGTTTTAAATAAAAGATTTTCTGTCCCTAGCATGTGTACAAACATAAAACAATGCCTTAGTGGTGTGGTTGTTATAATTTTTTTTCAAATTCATAAACTCTTTCTTAATAGTTCTAGATTTAGAATACAAAATGTAACTAATATTTCAACAAGAAACATTAAATCTTACACTTTTCTAACAATTAAACTTCTCTGTCATGAGATCTGTCAAATATTTCACCTTATTCAAAGATTGAACTAGTTAGATGTGCCTTCACCTTGAAAACGTTTTGGATGTGTTCGTTTGCAAGACGCTGACGAGCGCACACTAATGCAATAGTGTCATCTCTTATTATCTTACAGAAATTGTGTATACTACTTTCTTGAACGAATTAACAAGACTACTTACTATCTTTGTCGCACAAATGAGCACTGATTGCGCATGAGTGAGCTCACTAATTTGAGAATGGACACATTTCGAAGTGGTCATCCTATGGTGAGGGCGCATCTAACTTTTTAAATCTTTGACCTTATTCCAAAGCCGTGCTGCCCTGCTGGCAGAAGTTGTGAATCATTATGTAATACATATAAATATGAAGATTAAGAACAAAGTATACGATTTTATTTTATTAAAAATTAACACATTTTTGGTAGGTCCGTATACCGTCATTAACCGATTGCACAATTTTTCGTAGATATCAAGTTACTACTTAAATAATACTCAAAATGATATTTTAAGTTTTGAAGTATCCTCAGATTTTTACAGTATATCCCATTTTTAGCTTGCTGAAATTCTATTCGATAAGATTTAGTTAATAAAATAAAATAGTCAATAAAAATTATGATAAATTCATGAGGGTTTCATCTACTGTTATTGGTAGGATTTATCATATTTTCGATGACTCAGCTCATTTGATACAACCCGAAGTACATTTTTTCATAGGATGTGGTGACAAACGAGCACATGCCAGCTGATGGTAAGTGGTTGCTGCGGCCCATAGACATCTACATCTATCCTCGATTACAAAACAAAATGCAGATGCGTTGTCACCGTGCGTGTGCGTGAGGACTAATGTAAAAATTCTAATAAGTTGTAATAAAATGTAATAAAATTTTCTAAACTTAAAAATTCCACTTTTATGACCTAACAACAAAACGTAAAGAGTCCCAAAAATGGAATTTCTCTAAAGTGGGCAAGAGGCCAAAATACATAAAATTTTAAACATTATATGACACATACTTCATAAAGACTACTCAGTGCTCGACCACATCCACGTAGTACGCCAAGTTATGGAGAAGTATAAAGAATACCAATTGACCTACTACATAGGATTCATCGACTACAGCAAGGCGTTCGATTCTTTTTTTCACGCAAAGATATGGGAGTCATTAAAAGAACAAGGAATTGACCACAAATATATCCGCTTAATTAAAAACGTTTACAACAAGAGTACAGCGAGAATACAACTGGAAAAAAGGCGAATGTTTCAAAATCGGCAAAGGCGTACGACAAGGAGATTCTCTGTCACCAAAATTATTCTCGGCGGTGCTTGAGTCAATATTCAGAGGTCTTCATTGGGAAAATCTCGATATCAACGTAGATGGTCGTTCACTAACTCATCTGAGATTCGCGGATGACATTGTGCTATTTGCAAAAACTCCCGAAGATTTAACAAAAATGATAAACGATTTAGCAATAGAGAGCAAGAAGGTGGGTTTACAACTGAACCCAGAAAAAACTAGGGTGCTGACCAACGGAGAGAGAGCTATAAACTTAGGGAGTAATCAAATCGAGTATACGGAAGAATATGTTTATCTGGGACAATAACGAATGATAACCCCACGCGCAAAGAAGCTGAAAGAAGAATAACCAACGCCTGGAAAAGGTACTGGGCTTTAAAAGAGATTATGAAGGATAAAAATCTGCATATTAATATAAAAAGCAAACTTTTTAACACCTGCATACAGCCAATTCTCATGTACGGCAGTCAAACATGGACCTTGTCACAAAACCTGACTGACAAACTTGCAACATGCCAGCACGCAATGGAAAGAAGCATGATGAATGAAAAAATTCGGACGGACTGAGAAACTGTGTAATAAGAAGCAAAACAAAGGTTACAGACATAACGTACAAAATTAGAGGACTGAAGTGGCGATGGGCGGGGCACATGATAAGAGGAAGAGATAAATGGAGCAAATATGTGACGCAATGAGAGGAAGAGAAGAGGACGCAAGAGAAGGAAAAAGGAAAAGAGGGAGACCACAAAAAAGTGGAATGATGAAATTAGGCAAGTTGCAGGCGTCACATGGAACAGGGTGGCTCAAGAAAGACGTGAGTGGAAAAGGTTGGAGGAGGCCTTTGCCGACTGGCAAACAGATCTTCAAAAGTAAGAAAACCTCAAATAAAAGACTAGATTAAGGATAACAATAGTATTAAGCTTTGCATGTATTTCTCTTTTTATGTAATTTTTGATCTGAATAAAAAACGCTATATAAAAAAATGACACATACTGGGCATGTTGAATAAAAACTGAGTTTAAGATTGTTACAACTTTTACTAAATATTTTTTAATTATGTGCGAGTAGCTATGAAGGAGACCATTATCACTGTGACCTAAAAGATCTATTGTGATGTGATGTGGGTGATGGCTATAGTTCACTGCTAAGACCGGTCTTCAATGAATAAAAGGAGTTGCTCAGCCGTGAGCAATTTCTCTTCTTCTGGGCGGAGTACTTAGTTTCCCAGATGAGTGTTATGTTTGCGCATTAAGGGTCCACAATCAGTTAGGATGTGCAGAGGCATTTCTTGCATTATGGAACAGAACCGACACATCCTTGAGACATGTGTTTTTTAAGACAACAGTGTCCAGTTAGGGCTCTTGCTAGATTGCGAAATTTATTTTTACTTAATCCCAGGGCTTCTTTTTTTCTTTATTTTTTTATTTATTTATTCAAAGAAACTTACAGCTCTTATATTACATTTGAATGTAAGGTGAATATTAACAATACATTAGCCAGAACAGTTTCCAATGATAAGAATTACATTGCGAAAACTATAGACATAATTAAATGAAGTACATATTTGTGTTTGTCAAAGAGAAAAACATACTTAATGCGTGCCTAATTGCAATGTTAGTAAAGGTAATTTTATATTCAGAGAGAGAACAAGAGGTACACACTGCGTGATCAACTTGCTTAATAGATGAAATATAACCGCTTAGTTTGCAGTTAAATATATTGTTGCATGAATAAGTCAACTAGCGCCATCTAGTGTCAGGAACGAGAGCGAGGGGAGCATTGAGAAAATGACATCACAAATCACTCAACCGACAGCGCCTAGTCGAAACTCGAACGCTCGGTACCTTGCGCGTGTTTACTTGAACATTCTGGATATTTCTTCGCTAATTTAAATATATAGGGGCTGCAAGATGCGAGAAGTATAGTTGAACTCGGCGACACAAGCGAAGCTTCGGAGCGGAATTAAGTGAATTAGTGTGTTTAATTATTAGTGTTTTTAGTTTTAATTTGTGTAAAGTAAATTAAAGTGTTAATTTAGGTAATTTTATCGGCAATTTTTATTGTCACGAACCTCAAGCTCGTAACAATATCAATATGGTTATATCGTTCATTATGTGTGTTGCAAGCACGGACCAGAAACCGATTTTTCGAATACTTAGTTCTGCAAAAAGGAGTAGAGAATACTGCGTTGGAGCGAGCATTTAACCTAGGGCATCTAAATGAAATAGGACTTAGAAAGAAGGGGGAATCTATATAGTTATGTAAGTTTAAACAAGAACACCTGATCCCTATGTTCACGCCGTAATTATAATGAATGATGTAGCGCAGAATGATCATTAAATTTATAACTAAGTCTTTTCGGAAACTTATTTTGAATCCTTTCTACTTGTTCCACGTAAGTAGTATAAATAGGGTTCCACACCGTAGATGCATATTCAAGATGACTTCTTACTAAAGAATTATAGAGCATAATATACGTGTTTATGTATTTGAAGTC